GAACTTTGTTAATAAAAAATAAAATCACTTGACGGCGATGATAGATTGATGGAACTATATTAATAGTTGCGGCGCATGTAGAAGACGAGGACTGTCAATTAGCTCAATGTGAAGGTAAGTGGCACGAATAATGTGTCTAGATGCAATGTCTCATAACAATGTTTGTTTTTTTTTAGTAGTTCGAAATATGTTACACTTTAATAATACAGAGTGAAGTATCGCAAAGAAAAAACAAAAGATGATGACAAGATTAGCGTAATTATGCTTAAATATAAGATGTAAATATAATAATAATAAAAGATGTTTTGTCTTGAAAGATTTTTGTAAAGGCTGTATTGATGACAAAAGAATTACGTAAGAGTAAGTTGATGAAATATACATTTTGAAGCTATAGAAGCAGCTGGGCAATTAAATAAACCATAAAACCAACTAGTCGAATTGTCAAATATATAAAAAAAACTCAAGGTTGCATTAATGACCCTGTTTAATTGAGACATTGAAGATCAAGATGTGGCGAGACGAAATTCGTTTAAATTGCCTTTGAACGCTGACCTGAATTAGATCGACGTAATCCAAACCAAGAAGAGCAAGCGTATTGTCCATGCCTGCTTCGGTCTTCTCTGCTGAAAAGTCAAACATTTTTTCAGGCTCCTTCTCGTATCGTCCCACTTTACTTCCGATGAAAAAAGAACTTCTCGGCACATGTTTTAGCGCCTAGAAAACAAAAGACGATCAAATTCATCATACATTGCATTTAATTGTAGTGAAATAGAAAATCATAAAGTCATTTAAAATTCATATGCAAATCAGACTACTTTTATTTACAATTCTACGTAAAAGTACCTTTACTCGATGCTGTTCGGATGATCGAAGATACAAGGGAAGGATTCCTTCCTCTGTTAATTCTATGTCTATTCTGTCAGATATTTAGCTAAAGAAAATAAAAAAATAGCGCAACCTTTAAAGCCAAATAGGCATTGAATAGTCTGCGCAACTATGATACAGCAAACATAACTAAATAATGTTTAATAACTGTTGTAAATATGACTTGATTTTTACAGCGTGATGTTTTTTTTAATTAAAGTGCACAAGAGCTAAGGCTTATAAAATTTTCGTACATGGAATGAAATGTACATAATTACATATACGTATATACTTTGACATTACATTTTACATTATAAAATTTACAAAATATGAATGTAAAATTGATCAAATTATTCACAATAGACCTGTTTCGATAAGTTTATTCTACATTTTGGCAAATAACTTCTCTAAAGCTCTTGAAGGCCAATTGAACTACAAACACTTGAAGTGCTCGTCTGGTTCACCGCTCGGTCATGTTAAACTCAATTAAACTTTAAAACTACATTTTGAATAAGAAAATAAAATACGAATAATGCCAATTAATATATTTACTTTTGATATTTATTTAATAAGTTCCGTCGTTTCCAGGAATAGATGGTTCCTTGGAAAGAATAGGTGATTGAACTTTTCTCTTCATCAGCAAACTGAAATGACAGTCGTCTAAAAGAAATAGTCTCTCGCCCTAGCCGAAAAAGGCGACAAAAATCTTAAGAATAATCCAGATTTTTGACCAAAAAGCCCACAGTTTCGGGTAGTTAACGTTTAACCTAACATTTTATATGTAATTATTAATATAATAAGTTAAAAATATACGATACCAACCTACTTATTACAACTTACGATTCAGACAGACTAATGAGAGAAGTTGTTAAACTGTCATCTTCATTTTTTAACTTTAATGGACAAAGTAACTATATTTTTGTGTTATCGTTTTTTTTTCTAAGGATACCAAAATTTGTTATTACTAATAATTATCTTATGTTACATCTTTCTTATATTAAAAATGATCTTACTGAACTTAGCCTGAAAGAACACAGACTACTAATTACGTTTTTATTTTAATTTCGTGCGGACAGAATCGCGGGCAACAACTAGTGTTTTATAAACGCGCTCATAATGCCGCTATCCACATTAGTTCAGAGCAACTAACAAAAGAGCTATTTGCACAAATACAATATTATCTTTTTAACTAACGCAACGGTCGTGTATGTGCATACGGTGTTCGCTTTGTGTAACAATATTTAAGTAAAGCAAATTTTTTGTTCTAATACCTATATACTATACCTTTTCCAAGAGATACTCGCATGGTTATTACATGGAATATTATAATAGTAATTACAATTTAATTATTTTATAAGATTTAAAAAGTTTAACAACATTTCATTGAGTGTACAATCACTCTTTTTAGGGTTCCGTATCTCATAGGGAAAAAAACGGAACCCTTAGAGGATCACTTTGTTGTCCGTCCGTCTGTCTGTCAATACACTTTTTCTCAAAAACGCGTGAATATATCAAGTTGGAATTTTTTTAATTCAATGCGCACGTTTTGTATTTATAAAATTATCGCTGTAGATAAACGGTAACAAAAAGTGTTTTTTTTTAAAATAATGTTCCAATTGTGCTTATTTTACATGCATTGTCTTGATATCAGTTAGACTGGTGACCCGAGTAGCATCGCGTCATAACCGTCATTTCATTATTACCCACTCAACAAAAAGGGTACTTCAATTTAATAATATGAGAACCGCTTGAAAAAGAGCGGTTCAACAATCTATTTTTAGAACACTTTATAGCATTATTTTCTTATTTATACTCATTTATAATTTTAGTTTATATTAAGTAAATAAGTTATAAATTAATTAAGTATCTGAATTAATTAATCTAATTATACGAATTTACATTTGGCGCAATCCTGATGCACTTCTCCAGCTATTTAGATTGAATAAACGTATAATAACATTGTAAGTAATATAGAACTTAACACGACTTTGGAAAAGAATGAACAACATACATACGATTTTAGGATTTCTCCTAACTATCGTAAATTATACTCTCCCATAACAAATTTAAGTTGGTTTATTAATTTAGTATGCGTCGTTTTCTGAGACCAAAAATCTCTGTATAAAACATATCGCCATCTTTGACAATACAGCCTTTTTTATACTCAAAAACAAGTATAGCAATAAAGAAACAATAAACATTTTTGCACTTATTCGTTCGTTACTGATTCCATAAAATTGAATCGGCCAATTTAATGCAATCGGCCCATATAAATGGAGTTATAAATGTTAACATCATAAACTTTACGTATCTACAAACATATAATGCATCAACTTATCTTATCTGATATCCATAATTAACATTTTAGCTATCTCTAATAATACTAAGATTAGCCATCGAGGAATCGTAATTCTCATTTCTTATGTTGGTTCTAATTTTGCGAAATACCCATTTAAGATTTGCCTTCTGGATTTTTACGTATAAAACTAGACTACACCTCTATAAAGTTCGATATATAGGTAATTAAAGTCGATACTTTTTTCTATAAAATATTAGTACATTCGTTGTATTTATGCACAATTATTATTACCTTTCCTATTGTCCTCTCGGAACTGCCTTGGCCGTACCAAGGCCCAGTCTCTAAGTAATTCACGCCACGGTTCAGCGACTCCCTTATAAGCTCGAAACTCCTTTTTTCATCATATGTTCTAAAAAATATACCAACGTAATGTACCTTCAATATAAGAACTTTAGATGTAAATTTAATAGAAACTAAGACCCAAGAAAGAATAATAATTAATGTAGGTAAATATTAAGAAATACGCAATATATCAAGTATTTCTTTATGAATAAAATTTGACTATTAATTAAGCAATCGTATCGAATTCTTCATTTAAAGAATTTGGCAAGGGAGTTTTGATAACGTTCGTGATTATTAAAGGTTAATTATCGACCAGTTGCTATAATAATTCAAATAATTATATGTTTAGTAATAACAGCAATGTTTTAAATGTAAAACGCAATTCCAGGTATTTATCTAGGTCATTATAAAAATCGTTACGTTGGTCCTCAACCGATGTGTTTATTTTCGATGAGTCGACATGCGTTATCTTCGTTCATTTATTTACTCTAATCATGATGTCGGTAATTAGTAAACTACTTATTCATTGTAGGGTAAAATATGTCTACATAAAAATAAAAACAGGAGCGTGTATAGAAAGCGGAAGGCTTTGGAGCATGCGCATTCGGCAAATATCCAACAAGGACAAAAATAATAATTGTTTTAAGACTATACGTTTCCTTTTCTCTTACCCATATATGTTACTGAATGCTGCCCCTCCCAGTCCTATATGAGAGACTTTCATCCCAGTATCGCCAAGCTCGTTGTATCTCATGTTTATTTATACGTTTACACAATAAAATATTGTTCGCAACGCACAGACTACTACTCGCTCGGACCGCTGTCGACTGATTGGATTGGTTCGGCTGCGAATGATAAATCTTTACAACTACAATATCATTCATTTACGTACTACTACTGTATTCTTGAATATTGATACGTTAAGATCTGTTCACTTTGTAATAGCCAATTCGAATCGAACATGAGCATGCAGTAATGTATACAAATGCCACTACTATCGTTTGTCTGCACAAAATAAACTTTACACACTTTAGTAAAATAACATATTAGGAAATTAAAAAAAAAACAATTAAAAAAATAGTTATAAAAATTCATTGGGTTTTTCAATTTACCGCCCGCCATCCATCTCGTGACGACCTGCACGTCTCAGAAAAAAAATAGGATTCGACGAAATACGTATAATTATTATAAATTATTTTGGTAATATTATGTCATTAACATTTAAAAACGACCTAAGACTACCCCTTTGTGATCAAGGCGTGATGGTCTTTGTTTATTTTCAAATGCAAATGTAAACTAAAAATAACCGGTTACTGATGTCAGTTAAATAAGTCAAAAAAGAATTATACAAGAGTAAGTAAACATTAAGGTACTTTATTTGTATTAATTGTGTTAAACTTATATGTTTAAAAAAAATGAGATTTGGAACGCGAGAGAAATATAAGAAGACATTATTCAATTTGAGTAGAAAAATCTGCACAATACAAAAATGACAAAAGTGCAACATATTTCATTATCTTAAACAAGCTTACGTAAATAAATGTGTTGTGCACTCCACCTAATACATAACCTATAAAACTTCATGGGTTATTGTATTGTACAAACGAATTCAACCAATGTTGATTACCAATACGGACAACATTATAATTTTGTTAACAATACTATTATTTTTGTTGTTGTGATTGAAAATATTACAGTATTTTTGTAGATTGTAGGTATAGTTTTGCATAGAAATATGGAAAACATTATTCGTTATACAAATACTTTAAATAATTCGGAAAATAGTCATTGATTCGCCTTTACATGATTGAAATATTATGTAAAACTTAAAATAAGGGGAATTAATCCATATAGATACATACGTCAGTAAAAGTTCACTTTAAAAACGTTCACTTCCACATTTCTGAACGTTTCTCTTTAGTATTGCTAGATGAATAAATAAATTTTGACAGTGACGTAGAAAAGTTTATTTTCTAAATATTAAATTGAAAGTAACATTTTAAATTGAAAGTATAAATTCCGTTGAAATCTTAGGAGGAAAAATCTATAAATTTCGTTTTTTTTACAACTGACAGCAATGTGACATATTTGTTTCTGATACTGGTATCCCTCGCCGAGCTCTGCTTCAATTCCGTAATGACAGATCTCACATTTATCTTGGCCGTCAACCGACGTACGTTCCGCACGCTTGCGGAGGTTAAACTTATAAAATAATATTTTGACTGCGAAATAAAATTAAAATTCGATCTCCAAGTGGTATTCTCATAAAATGTAAATCTGATTTATTATTATAGTTGGAATATTTAAGAAGGTATGTATTTCAAGTTAACACAAGAAGTAATAAAGTGAATTGTTTACATGTTTACAAGTTTTCTAAAGATTTTTGGGGAAGACAAATAGTTGGCTACGCGCTGTCTAACGACTTAATTAATTTTACTTGTACGTAAAATCCTCTGTTCATGTGTTTTTTTAGTTCCTACACATAGTTCACATCTAAACAACTTTGAACATTGCACTACAAACATTTCAAATTTCGAATGCATTTACGATAACTTTAACGTCTCTCTGACATTTGAATTTAAAATCATACCAAGTGTTAAAACTTGTGTTACTGGGGTTAAGAAAGCTTCTTTCCATTGAAATTCTATTAGATAATATATTACTAGATATTAAAAATTTAAATACCATATTATTTACATATCGTAAATTTTTCATTTTTTATTTTTACTTATAAGTAAATGAAATTGGTGATACAAATTGATTAATTAAGCATAGGTATTAGCAAAAATACATTTTGATGTGGTGGATCTTATCTTATGCTACAGCTTTTCTTAAATCACGCCAAATAAAAATTAGAGAAAAATGCTAAAAAAAATCTCTGGTATTATAGATATATATTTGAAAGTAATTTAAAATGATTATAAATTTATATATATAAATTTTTTTATCTGCAGTCTACAATCAATGGAACTTGTTTTTTGTTTTACTCTTGAAAAAAATTGTTTTGTTGCATTATTTCTTCATAGTTAAAAACAGTAGTAAAGAAAAGTAATAAGTTACAAAAGACAAAGTTTTTTTTAATATTAGTACTAATCTGAAATTTGTTACTATTGGATACATAGTGACAAATATTAATAAATTTCAATGGTAGTTCATTCAGTACAAATTTATCAGTAAATTTTAATAGTATTTTATTTTTTGCCTTTGTGAGTGATTATATTTTATTTATTTTAAAAATAAAATAAATTAAAAAATATTTTTATTTAAATTAAAATGGGACATAACATATCTAAACATTCTCTTTATTTTCTTAACTCTGTACCAATGTACCAGATCAATAACCAAATATCAGTCAAGAAATTATATTGTCTTTTATTTTAAATATTTTTTCTAAATAATTTAAATTAACTATAGATAAAATTACAATTGTAAATAGTAAAAGCAAAAATTATAATTGTCATATTTTTTCAGAGCACAATGAGGACCAGGTTGCCGCGTTGCAGACCTCTCTCCACCCGGATACTGGTCATCTTCTTGCTGTTGCTGGCTTTGGCTCTCTACTGCATCTATTACAATGCTACACCTTCAGGTTACAAACCAAGTAAGTGGATTTATATATTTTTTTTAAATTTACAGGAATCTGGCACTTCCATTGCTCTATGACATCATTGGTCATCATTTTAGCCCGGGTTATCTTCTAGGTGCAGTGAACATGCTGATTTTCGTCGTATATTTGTAATATATCTATTTTATTTAGTTTTTTTTATGCACAAAAAACGCATCAATTAAATAAACATTATTGAAAAGATTATTTTTTAGGTTTTAAATTTTTTTTAATAACAATAAACAATAATAATCTCGATACTCTGTTGGCGTATTGAAGTATAAGCGCCTAAAGTCGTGGTTTATCATTTCGAATTTACACCAAAATACATTCCAATATCCTAGTTTCACACGAGGACAGTATAACAGAATAATACCTCTGACGTTTAAACGCACTAGCCCCGCCGCGCCGCCCATGGAATTTCAGGAAAGTCAATAATAATACTGCGCTGTCTACTACTCTGCTTCCCTGTGCTATCCTCGTGTAAATTTGGGATAAGAGAGGTAGATCTGTGATGAGAAGTGACAAAATGTCAATCATTTATGTTCGAGTTTAAATACTGAAGCAGACGATATCTTGCCGTAATTTAGCCAATTAATAATAATTTGATATAATATGAATCATTTCTATTGAAAGGTATAGCCATTTATAATATATAGCAATTTCTTTTATACCACAACCACATCTAGTAACATATATGGTCTTATATGTATTTTTCTTAGTTTGATCAAGTCAAGGACCACAATTTCATTTCACTCAGTACGTCGTCTTTGTTTGCTTCCAACAAAGACGACGAGAAATGTTAGCCATAATTGAAACGTATTAAATTGTCGGGCACAATATTATTTATTAAAACAGTATAAAAATAATATAATATCAAATTATTTGTAATAAATACACATTAGAAAAAAATATTGCCAAAAAGTTGGTTACAAACGTGCTAAAACACATTAATCAAAGGATTATCTTAAGCATAATAAACTGCGGGAAATAGTTTCACCGGCTTTAAATAAATTCCAACCACAATAACTGGTTCATTTCGCAGAATTCATAGAAAAGGTCTGCTTTTGCGAAATTAAATAAAGTATTAAATGTAAATTTTAAAGGAATATTCAACATGATATCCTATTAGAGTACGGTAAATTGTAGGACTATTAAAAACACGTAAAATTATTATCAATATGTTCTTTTTTGCAACTTTAGTAACACGATTTCAAGCCGTGATACACGAAAGGCACTTAAAATGACAAAATATCACTAATAGTAATTTTCAATGTCTTAAACATCATATACAACCAATATACAAAAAGTAGAAAGTTAAGATAATGCACTTATGTGCACAACACGCGTGCTAAGTTATTAGTAAGTAACTCATTATATCATAGCCTCACAAACTAACATCGACTCGACTATAGATATGACAAATCTATTAATTATCTTCTATACATATAAATAAAATTGGAATGTCTGTTTGTAATATTGAAAAAACCGTTTTACGATTTTTGTATGTCTGTCTGTCTGTTTGTTTCGGCTAATCTCTGAAGTGCCCCGATCGATTTTGACGGGACTTTTATGGCCAGATAGCTGATGTAATAAAGAGGCTACGTTTGTTTTAGAAAAATCCTTAAATTTACAATTATAACGTAATGTTGCAATGTATAAGTAAAGTCAAGTACCGCGCGCAGCTCAACGGCAGTATTTCACGCGGGCGAAGTCGCGGACACAGCTAGTTGTAGCTATATATCATATAAGTATATCTGTCTATAACCACTAATTGATCAAAAGCTCATCTCTGAAACAGGCAATTAGCTCTCTGGATACGTCCCTCCTCTATTTAATTACATATATTGATTCACACATAATACATTTTCATTAACACGTGTGTTTAAACCAATATTAGAGGAGGTAAGTTCATTAAATACGCGTAAGTGTTTTATTGAATGTCATCTCGTTTAATTAATAAGGTTAAAACCTCGACTGTTGAGCGAGTTAACACAGTTGCAATTTTCGCATTCGAAGTCACGGCCCAACTTTATTGTCACGGCACATGAAGGAAATTAATTTTGTCAAGACTAATCAGATCTTAAAAGCATTATTTGACTTTCCGATTTTAATTCTTCTCTTCCAAGATTTCCTTTTAAGAACAGAATGAAATTTTTGAAACTATTCTGTACGCCGTTTACTTGAAAACGGTTAATCTGTATCAGTTATAATAACAATAATAAAAGCAATTTACAGATGATTACAAATAATCATCAATAGCCTAATGGTAAAGGGTACGGATTTCCGATCACGAGGTCGGAGGTTCGAATCCCGCCCTTTCGACTATTGTCGTAAACCATATGGCACAAGCCTAGAGGTTAGTTGGTATGCTAAAAGAAATACTAGTAAATTAAAAAATATTTTAAAATCAATGAA